TACAAAAAATAGTACATCTTACATTTGATAGTGTAAACTGTAAATGTATCTTTACATTGGTTGAAAAATTACAATAACAATACTATATTTCAATATATTTAAGTAAATGTACAAATTTTTGTAATATTATTTGAAATAATTATTATTATATTATGTAATATAATGTTACAATATAATATGTGATATTATCATTATCTTCTGTAATATTACAAAAAGGGCATAGGGGGGTAAGTATATAAAAGATGCCCCCGCATGAAATCGGTTCAAATTAATACCACATATTGCTACCTATATAAGTATAAAATCCTGTAAATATGAACTAAAAATTCGCTTTTGTGGGGGAGTTATGGAGGGGGTAAGGAAAATAAAAAAACCCATTTTTCTCGAAAACTAATGAACCGATTTTAATAAAATTGAAATGTGTTTTAAATGTAAGTGAAGCAATGTAGAAAAAAAAATTTCAAATTTTTTTTTCAAGAAAACTGTTGGGGATCAAGGGTTGCGAGACACAAGCACTACACACAGAACTTGTATTAATAAACGATATATTTAATGCGTCACACAATTGAAAATAACAAAACTGAATTATTGCTCGTATCAGACGAGAAACTTTGCACGTGCGACGGACGCCACCGGAAGAAGAACATAGAGCAGTAAACATAATGTAGATAGGAAACGGAATTAAAAATAAAAATACTTGTATTGCCCTCTTTCCGGAAGTTACTAAACCTAATTATAATGCCAGCCATAGCACACATAGATCCACTATTCTAACAAAAACTTAGAAAAAATAAATTTTTAAATTTTCAACAATTTTTTTTTATTGATTTTTTAAAAATACACCTCCATTTTTTTTTTCAAAAATACTACATAGTGTTTTCTTTAACATATATTTTTTCCAAATTTTTAAAAAATGTACTTTTTAAGAAAAATAAGTTTTTAAGACCAGCAGAAGTACTTACAAGGAACACTACCCAAGTGTGACACGCCGAGTTGGCTGCAAGTTGGCACATTTTTAGACCTCGGAAAAATAATCGATACGTATTTTTTTTTATGGGCAAAGAAGAAGGTTTAAGGGTTGAAACTACCCCCTGTATTGCTCAAAAACCCCTAAAATGCATAATAATATACGCACATATTAAGTAAAACTAATTTCCATAAAACTTGGTGCCTTGGGGTTTTTTGGGTCGCCGATTTCAAATCTGAGGTCATATTTACAAAATTTAAAATGGCGGATCCAAAATGGCGAACCAAATTTTACAAAACTTTTTGGTTTTTCATAAAATTTGGTATGTAAACGGGTTTTTGGGTCGCTGATTTAGAATCTGAGGTAAAATTTACAAAATTCAAAATGGAGGATTCAAAATGGCGGACCAAATTAGTTTTACTTAATATGTGCGTGCATATTATTATGCATTTGAGGGGTTTTTGAGCAATACAGGGGGTAGTTTCAACCCTTAAACCTTCTTCTTTGCTGATAAAAAAAAATACGTATTGATTATTTTTCCGACTTCTAAAAATGTGCCAACTTGCAGCCAAATCGGCGTGTCACACTTGGGTAGTGTTCCTTGTAAGTACTTCTGCTGGTCTTAAAAACTTATTTTTCTTAAAAAGTACATTTTTTAAAAATTTGGAAAAAATATATGTTAAAGAAAACACTATGTAGTATTTTTGAAAAAAAAAATGGAGGTGTATTTTTAAAAAATCAATAAAAAAAAATTGTTGAAAATTTAAAAATTTATTTTTTCTAAGTTTTTGTTAGAATAGTGGATCTATGTGTGCTATGGCTGGCATTATAATTAGGTTTAGTAACTTCCGGAAAGAGGGCAATACAAGTATTTTTATTTTTAATTCCGTTTCCTATCTACATTATGTTTACTGCTCTATGTTCTTCTTCCGGTGGCGTCCGTCGCACGTGCAAAGTTTCTCGTCTGATACGAGCAATAATTCAGTTTTGTTATTTTCAATTGTGTGACGCATTAAATATATCGTTTATTAATACAAGTTTTGTGTGTAGTGCTTGTGTCTCGCAACCCTCGATCCCCAACAGTTTTCTTGAAAAAAAAATTTAAAATTTTTTTTTCTACATCGCCTCACTTACATTTAAAACATATTTCAATTTTATTAAAATCGGTTCATTAGTTTTCGAGAAAAATGGGTTTTTTTATTTTCCTTACCCCCTCCATAACTCCCCCACAAAAGCGAATTTTCAGTTCATACTTACAGGATTTTATACTTATATAGGTAGCAATATGTGGTATTAATTTGAACCGATTTCATGCGGGGGCATCTTTTATATACTTACCCCCCTATGCCCTTTGTACGTTTACGTAAAAATTGTGAAATGTACTATTGTTATTGTAATTTTTCATCCAATATAAAGATACATTTACACTAACAGAGATAAAATGTAGTAATTTTTAGGAAAATTACACAATTATTTGAAAATTTACGTAAAAACTATAAAATACAGTATTGTAATTGTAATTTTCCATCCAATGTAAAGATAAAGGGCATAGCAGGATAAGCATATGCGTGCGGCCTTGGCACCAATTTTGTTGCAATTTTCAGAGAATTTAGGTATTTATATGTAAATGAAATTTCCAAAGTATTATCCCATAAAAATTATTTTTTTGGGAGTTATGGGGGCAAAACAAAAAATAGAAAAAATTCATTTTCACGAAAACGGCACGATCAATTTTATTGAAAAAAATATATGTTATGGCTTCAGAAAAGACACTTTCAGAAAAAAATTATGAAATTTTTTTTTCAAAAAATAGGGGTTAAAAAAATTAAAAGTTTTTTTAATTTTTTTTGTGGGTTATCATTCGAGTACTATCGCCATTTTTTCACAAAAAATCCCGCAAATACTGTAGAAAAAGTTGTCACAGTATCATAAGGATCGAAGAGGTAGAGCATAGTTTAAAACAGTGCTAAACCCAAGTGCCAAGGCCGCACGCATATGCTTATCCTGCTATGCCCTACACTATCAGAGGTAAAATGAACTAATTTTTGTAAAATTACACAATTTTACATATTTCCACTATAAATTGTGTAATTGTTACACATATTATTTGTGTAATTTTACACACTTTTTTTACAGTGTATGCAAGGATCTATTCGTTGCTTTAAATTTCAAAAGTCCATTCTCCGTATATCGTTTTCTTCGTCGATTGTATCTGAATTACATTTTTCGTACATGATGCTTAACAACAAGATAAGTATCTGCAATGCTTGTTCGAGATAACGACGCGGAATTGATCGAGCATAAAACAATGCGATTTTGTCGGATATTTTACATTCTGATAAACATTCCGCGAAAGCAAACACGGAGCTAACTTTGAAGCTCAACAAAGATCACAAACGTTCATTCGCATGACCACGAAAAGATTTAACTGCCACACGCATTGTTTTATGCTTGATCAATTCCGCGTCGTTATCTCGAACAAGCATTGCAGATACTTATCGCAGTCGCGCATTCGCATTGACTAAATTAATAGTCTAAGAACTGATTACATATGGATTTCAAATTAATCGATACAAGGCCAATAATTTTTACCTAAAAAGTTGGACTAGTATCGCTATTAATAAAAACGCATTTCTGCCGCGCCGCTTAGGGAGGTATAGGTATAGACAAGCAGACAAACATGTAAATTTTCATAGCTCATTAAAAGTGTGGCGGCTCGCCACCAGAGGTCCAAAAAGGAAAAGACACAAAAGGAAGAGACTCGCGCCAATTCTCACATGTACTCGAGATACGTGAGATCTATTCATATAGCACCTCGCGCTAAGACACCTCCAGGCGTCTAAGGCAGGCTCCCACTACAATGCCTTACTGATGAGTCCAGTAGTAGGGGCCGGGACGAAACGCAGCAGTGGATGACAACAATATTTTCGAATAGACAAAACGGAGCCAAAAAAGTATTAGTACAAGGCTGAAACTTTGTAGAATGTTAGTGTCTGATGTCCTGAACAATGTATCAACAATGGTAGAAATCTAACAAGGAGATGGCACGAATTGCGAAATACGATTTGGAACGTAATCTATACCATTCGAAAGGTGGGGTCGAGAGTGTAAAAAGTGTAAAAGGGTTGAGCGTACGTTACGAACATTTTATAAAATAATAAAAATAGATCCTCGCAAATTAAAAAACCCAACAAATTGAAACCTTTGAAAGCTAACCGCAAAAATTTGAACCTTTCTAAATTAAAACGATTACCTAACCACAAAATAAAAAACCCAATAAATTACAACCTTTGAAAATTAACCCCAAAAATTTAAATCATTCTAAATTAAAATGATTATCTAATAATGTAACCTAATAATTTAAACCTTTAATACTTTAAATGATATTATCTAATATAATATATTACCACGAAAAATAACTGATATATTACTAAATGTGCCAGTTCAAAGTGAACATACATTATGTATATTTTCTATGTTGAATATGTACCACTGTTCAGTACTCGTCTTTAATTTCCCTTCCGCTACAACGACTGCTTACGAAATCGACCGACTTCATGGATCGTTCCGCTGCGCGATAGCGTACCGCGCAATCCTCCTCGATCAAGAGACCAGAAATCAATGGCCGTTCTAACGCAACGACACGTGCACCGTATCGTCTCGACATCCAACTTTGTTATCGCGTCGTCAGTCGTGTTACGACAGCAGTTTGTTTGTGAGTCTTGGCCTGCACTTGAGGCTTTCTTAATAAAGACTATAAAAATCAGAGAAACAGTCGTTTTCTCGACCAAGCCCCTTCGACGTGGTTACCGCGGGAACGCTAGTAAAGCCGCGCCATTACAATCTACAAGTAAGCGCAGCACAATTGCTAACAAATTCTTGGTCCTTCGAGCCGGATACTGTCGAGTATCTGGGCTAGATAGCCCAGTGCAGTGACGAGCGAGCAAAACCTGACAAGCCGTCAAGGCTTTCGTCGAGACGAGACAGCCGTCGTCTATCAGAGGCGGTACACGATGCCATTGACACAACCGCAATGCTCGTGTTTTTAATCATAGAAAACGCAGCCCGGCTTTTCACGAAGCGGCCGCAGTGCATGCATCCAAGCATTACGATCGTAGCCCGGCTCATTGCTTCATATCGAGACGTGTCTCGATACAGCATCGACGACACAACTGCGACCGGAATTCTGCCACAACCGGAAGGCGAGGCCCAATCAGCGCAGCGGAAGGCATCACTCGACGACCCAGCGACCACGAGAGGATCGTCTACGTGCATCGATTCTCAACCTGAGGGTGTTCGACGTCATCCACGTCATCATAGCGTCGCAGGCATAACAAGGTAAGGGAGATCATTTCTGCCGCTGCCAACCAACTTTCTTTCGTTTCCCGTGTAACGCGAGTGTTCATATTGTGATTGAGATGCCTGACCAATCAGAGAGCGCGATTCTCAGGCGACAGCGCGCGACCATAAAGTCGTCATGTACGCGCATTAAATCGTACGTGGATTCGATTGTAGTCGCTACCCCGTCAATAGTAGCTCAACTCGAAGAGCGTAAACTGAAACTCGAGCATTATTGGACGGAATACAACGCGGTGCAATCGCGTCTAGAATTAATTGACGAATCCGAAGATGATGATCGCGGCATCTTTGAAGAGGCGTTCTATGCGTTGTCCGCCAGGATCCGCGAGCTTACTCCCGGACCGTCGACACCGCGAGCGTCCATCTTTTCGGTAAACCTTCGGAAAGACTACTTCCCTCGAAAAAAAATCGTAACTATGTGTTTTCGATGTATTTTTGCTTCCTGATTACGAATATGATAATAAAATTTGGCGGTCGGACACATTGAAGCCGCTATCTTGAAAAAACTGTCAAAAAACATGATTTTTTCTAGTTTTTTGCATTTATTTCAAAAAATACGCATCAGACAAGAAAATGTTTCAAACAAAAAGTAAAGAACATAAAATTATGTACAAAAAAGGTTCTATGCATTTTCTTCGTAATATCAATGGTAAGCTCGTAAATGAAGAGCGAACATAAGTATAAACGTTGAACTTTCCACGGGAAATAACTTTCACTCCCCCCTCCTCCCTCCGCACAAAAGCACACGACCTCTACGATTGTACTGTTGCTATGATAGTACTGTCGGGGCAGACCTCTGACGACGGTGTGGGTGCGGGGGGGTGGCCGGAGGCCGAAGGCCGAAGGCCGCCCCCTTGCACCCGCCCGTGTGTGTGTGTGTGTGTGTGTGTGTGTGTG